AATATTTATCCGTTATGTTGACAACTTCCACCAGGATTCACAAAGAACATTTCCTTCATTACCTGGTGAAAAATGTAACCTCTTCTTTAAGAGATCCGTAGTTTCAGAATCAAGAAGGATTTAAGATAGGTTTACAACATTTGTCATATCGTCGACTGCAGCAGTTGATGCCTTAAATAGAGAACAATCACAATTTCCCCGGGTTGTTTTGGTCTTGCGCTGTCTTATTATCCCACGGTGGGAATCGATTGATAAGAAATTATTCTTTAAGATCAAGTACTTTTCTAATATTACTTATATATTCTAATCAATAAAAATAAAATAATTTCTGAAAAAAATTAACGAAATATTATGCCATATAAGTATGATAGATAACATTAATTTGGAATAATTTTCAGTGCTTTACAATAATTCTAATGTACAAAACATATAAAATATTTACTTTGTTTATCTGAATTCATCGATGTTGCCAGGCTACAAGGGAGCATAGGAGAGGTCGAGGACATTGACTGGCCAGATGGTATAAGTGCCGACGAGGATGAACCTCCTGTAGTTGGTGGTGAGTGATGCTGAGTCTGATGATGAGGCGTAGCAGGTGTTGCTTGCTGGTGATGAGATAAAAGAGAAGTTTGATCTACAATATGGAGCTGAGATTGGTGTAGGTGGTGGTGATGTTGATGTGCTTGAGAAAGACTAGGCTGTTGAGGAGACCTGCGATGCGTTGCTGACTGACTATGAGGTGTGGGTCGGGTTTCACGAGGCCCCATTAGAGTAGCCCCAAAGCCTTGATGATGGTGATGAGGATGGTGTGAGTGTTGGTGATGGTGGTGACCAAGGAACGGAGAACCGGGCGTTGGCGGTGGAAGAAGTTGAACCGTGGCCATAGGCCCGCCTCTGGAAGGGCCGGAGACCCCAGGAGCTAAATGAGCTAGTGGAAGTGGAGGTGGTGGTGGCGGAGGCATGCAGGAAGGTACAGTTGGTGGATAGTAGGTCCCACCAGAAGCAGCAGCAAGGCGGCCTTGATGTGAGACAACACCAGTTGTGGAGGATGAAGAGACTGGATGAAACAATAATTCATTGACACCATCCCCGACAGGACGTTCTCCACAGGAATTTCCTCCCCCTGATGAGAAGATACCGGCAACTGGAGGAGTGGTAAAAGGGAATCCTGATGAGGTGACATGAAGAAAGGATGAGGAAGGAGACATATGATTTGAAGCCTTTCCCAATGGGGAGCAAGTGGTACTCGGCCCAAGACCTAGATTCATATGACAAGTCGAAGAGCCACGAAGAGGGTTTGAATTAGAAGCGGGTGGGGATGAGCAACCAACAATCTGAGAGACTTGATTAATTGGAAGTGTGTTTTGCCAAGTACAAGTCGGAATCTGTAGAGAATGGTGATGCTGTTGCGCTAAAATTGGAACAGTGGATTGGTGATCGGTGTGAATTGGAGCTGAATACAATGCTTGTGATTGCGAAGATGGTGGGATACGAACTGTTGCCGGTGAAGAGACAGAGGCTGCCTGAAGAATATGAGCTTGTCGCATCAGAGCATACTGCTCATAAACCGCAGCCAATGCAGCTGGATTGCTTGGCAGGCTAGGTCCGAGTCCAGAAGCTGCACTGGTAGCCAAAAGAGTGTAAAATTCAACTGGCCCGAGCAGTGGTGGAAGTGGGGGACTTGAGGCATCAGTATTCAACATCATCGCATGACTTAAACCTGGAGTTACAGCAGTAGTAGCTAATACAGTAGTAACTGGAGGTTGATGAAGTAAAGGAGAATTTGGAAGGCCCAAATTAGGCGTTGGAGCAGTAGTGACAGTGGTGGACGTTGGGGCCGAGGATGAAGTATACATCAAGGCCACTGAGGAGCCAGAGGTCGACAATGGTAGTGAGGAGGAAGATGTAGGTTGTAGCTGAGTTGTTGATCCTGCCAATGTAGATAATGGCGATGATGATGTAATATTTGACGACTTGCTGGTATCATGTAGAATAGGCTCGGGGACCTATGGCAAAGACGAGAGCGCATTTAGAAAGTTAAAAAAGTTACAAAGTTATGCAAAAGTAAAAACTTAAAGAAGAACAAGAATAAGGAATGGAAACAAGAAGTGGACTAATGAGAGAATACAGAATACAAGAAAACGAGTGAGAATGTAGCAAGTCCAGGATCTGATGCTTAGAAAAATAACTACTACTTCAGACAAGGTGTGTCCAAATAAGTCGCCTTTACAATACGACCAAGTAGCGAAAGCGAGACCATATCAATACATCGAAAAGAGACTGCAACCAAAAGAGAGGCCACAACATTTTAGTCTTCGTATCCACGTCAAATGTAAGGTAGTAGAATTACCAGACAATGCAATGAATACAGCCGGAAAAAGAAGCCAATTGTAGGTCAATCATGCCATCTGACCATTTTAAATTTTTGTAAATTTTACGGTATCAGTCTTGGATTTTATGACCTTAAAAGATACTATGATTCAGATAGAGTTAATGAGGTTCTTCACCAGGCGAAACCT